CTTCTTCTTTCAGAGAAGCTATGGCTTTGAAAATGACAAGGAGAACATGTGCTTGCTTCCAGATCTCCACTACAAGCTAATAATGAATCAGAAGCCACAGAAGAAAGGTAAGGCTGAGGCCCCTTAGTGCCTGATAGGAAGTTACCTCTGTCTACTGCAGCCCCCATCCCCAGATTGCTCATGTCCATCTGGCATGCTAACTCAGTGGGAACTGGTTCTAGGGGAACTAAATAGATGCCACTTCCCCCACAGCTGGGTAATTTTATGCAGTGCAGCAGGTGCTCAGTCTCAAGGCCTGAGATCTGAGCATATGGGGCTGCAGCCCCTTCCTCATCTGAGCAGAGCTCCTGAATCAGGTGGGGGCCCTGGAACAGCCCCTTTCCTCTAGGGCTTCACTACCCTCTGGCTTCTCAGCCCTATCTCTGGTCCCTTAAACCTTGGAAGAGGTGACTCTGGGTATACTCCCTATGAGAAATCTTTCCTGCCATCATCTCTGTAGACACCATGGGAATGAGTGGGGAAAGAAGCAGAGACTCAGCCTACAGCACTTGTCCAAGACACTTTCTTGTCCCTGTTATGGCCCATTCTCCTTGCCTATTCCCTAGTCCAGCCCAGGGGAACCCCTATTGAGTTCTTGGGTTCATTCTTCTCCTTACCTTTAGAACATCAGGTGGTCTGACTGGCAAATGGTGCCATTTGGGAATATCCTATCTCAGGTGGTGCCCAGGGCTCTCCCTTCCTGAAGACACGCAGAAAATAGAGTGGAGGAACAACCCTCTGGGGCAGCCCTAGCAAGCTGTTCTGGGCAAAGTGTAGCCCAAGTTAGTAGCTCTAGCCCTGCAGGACTGGAGGCCCTGATGAGACACCAGGAGAGGTTATGCTCTCACTCAGGACTTGATATTTTTTAAGTCACAACTTCCTTGCTTTATAAATACCCCTCAGGAGACAACTTTTCCAGTGGCCTCTGTTCCTCTGGGAACTTGGCTGGGTATGGGGCTGCCTCAAGGAAGTGTTGGGTAGAACAGGCAGGACACATCCCCACCAGGTTTGGGGAGGAGTCCCCACAAACATGTAGGACTGAGGCCTGTGAAGGCCAGGAGGTTGGGACACGTGGGCTCTTGGGTGGTAGCTACTCATGTTGGGTTGAACCTTGCATGTTCTCTCTTACAGGCAGCATGTCCACATCAAGCTTTCAGTCCAACAAGTCCATCTCCAATTCAACAGTGTCAGGTGAGTGGGCCAGGACCCCCTATGTACTCTGAGCAAGAACCCTACTGGGCCCAAGGTTGGGGTGGCCAGTATGGGTGCTGACCAGGGAGCTGTAAGCCCATAGTGGTCTTTTGTTGGGCAGACTTTGGGAAGACCTCATGGATTCAGGGGAGAAGGGTTAGTTAAAGGGAGCCAAGAAGGGCAGTCCCTGGTACTCTGAGAGCTGAAGTCACAGGAGACTGAGGAGAGTACGATAAGACTGTGGCCCAGAGGGAGGCCTTGAAGGAAGGCTACCAAACAGGACAGGGTTGGGATATTGTTGCAGGGCAGCAAGATACCATGGCAGCTCCACCTGGGCAGGAGTGTGATCAGTTAGACTCACTGATAGAGGGGACTCCTAGGTGCCTGTCAAGGCCCCCAGTGGTCTCCCTGGGAGGATGTGCACAGACTGTCCAGCAGAAGGCCTGTTGACCTGTTATGCCCAGATAGGCAAGATGCAGGTGGGATGATCCTGCCCACAGAGCCCTTGCCTTATAACATCTTTTGAAGAATGAGGGGAGCAGAGAGCTTCTTCTCCCATTCTGACTGCCACAAGAGGCCAAGCTTCCTTACCAGTGGGCAATGGACCTGAGCTTGGGCCTAGAGAATAAACCCATGCAGAGTTCCAGTGCTCTTCCCCAGTTCTATTTCACTCCAAATGGAAGCCAGCTTCCACCTGATTGTTCTGGCATGTTCAGCAGGCACGACTCACAGACTTTACCCTCAGAACCCCAATTTATTCCTCCTATCAGACCTTCCAAGGGAGGCTCTTTCCATCTCCCATTTACAGAGGAAACTGGGGCAGGGGCAGGGGCTTCTTGGGTGCAAGCAGCTGATCCCAGAGGACTTGGGCAGTGACTGGCCCTGTCGGGTCTGACCTGCAGCCAACTCTCAAAGCAAGGCAAGGCCCCAGCCCAGCTCCAAGAGGCAAGAGTCGAAAGCTGATGCCCCCCAGAAGATGGACCTGGAAGAGGAGCCATTCAGTGCTGCCCTGTTTCACAGCAGCAAGCTGGACAGAGTCCCTGGGGTGCAGGGGCAGGCCAAGTAAGGCTCACCTGCATCAAGGCACAGGCCTGCAACCCAAAGGCCCTAGGCTTGCACTTAGTAGGTTCCCACCCTGGGAACAGCAGATTTCTTCACCCACTTCTCCATGGGCTCATGAAGTCAGCTACCAGGCTGTCTGTTGGGTGCTGCCTTCTTCCTCTTCCCTGGGGGTCCTGGAGGGTCCCTGTGCTGACAAGGGCCCACAAGAGGACCAGTTGCAGCTCCTAAACCTTTCTCAGAGAAAAGAAACAACAAAATGATCTGATTTCCAAATTAGTTTTTTACCAAGAACACAGTGAGTAAGCCTGGTGTGGTGTACACCTGTAATTCCATTGACCAAGGAGAGTGAGGCAGGAGGATTGTAAATTCAAGGCAGCCTCAGCAACTTAGTGAGGCCCCGTCTCAAAGTTAAAATTAAAAAGGGTTGGGGGGATGTGGCTTAGTGGTTAAGCATCCTGGAATTTAATTTCAGGTATCAAAAAACAAAACAAACAAAAAAAACCAAAAACACACACACAAAAAAAACCCCCAAAAACAAATCCACACCACAGAGCACAGTGAGTGGACCTGATTATCTTGGAGTTGGGTGCCTGCCTTTGGAAAGCACTGGGCCAGCAAGGCACAGCAGAATTAAGATCCGGTGACCACTGTTTCTTGGACCTCCCTGGAATGCTAGAGTACACGATCTGGAATAGTGTAGCTAGTTGGACAAGATCCCACTTCTCTGAACAGACCTAACATTCCCTAGAGACCAGCCTGCAGTGAGAAGACCTGCTGGGCATGAGGTTAGGACTCAGTTAGCTGGTCCCCACTTCCCGGAACACCTGATCCTTAGTGTACCTTGAAGGGGAAGGGACAGGTCCAGGTAGCTGGTTCCAAAGAACCCCACCTGGTTCCCAAAGAACCTTGGTCAGCAGAAAGGAGCCAGGCCCAGCATAAGATATGTAGATGGCCCTTTTCCCCTCATGGGCCCACACTGGCATGGACACTGCTGTGGGAAGGGTGGTAAGATCAATTCCTTAGGCCACCTCTGGGCTGCTGTTATGACATTTCAGAGACGAGGATGCGGAGAACTCTAATTCAGGGGCCACCTTTGTGGGGGTCACCCAGCACAAGGGCAGGCAGGTGACAGGAGCAGCTCCCTTGATGAGCCTGCCTCCACACCTGCGCAAGCCCACTACAGTACAGCAGTGCGAGGTAGTCATCCGGCAGCTGTGGAACGCCAACCTTCTACAGGCACAAGAGGTGAGGCCTGGGCAGGGCATGGCCTGGCACCTCTACAGGCCCTACCTTGTACCCCACCATGCCTCTCTTCTCTTTCAGCTGCAGCATCTCAAGTCCCTTCTGGAAGGGAACCAAAGGCCAAAAGCTGCCCCTGAGGAGGCTGGGCCTGGCTCTATAAAGTGAGTGCCCCTGTGCCACTGTCCCAGCCCAGTGGGGCCTAGTGTGGGGCTCACTGCTGACTTCCTTCCCCAGGGACCAGGAGGCCACCCAGTTCCCCAAGGTCTCGACCAAGGGCCTCTCAAAGAAATGGTGAGTTTCCTGGCACAGGAGAGTGGGTAACAGTCTGGGCCACAGGGAAGAGGGCTGGGTCTCAGGCAGGGCTGCCAGCTGTCAGTCCAGCTTCTACCCCAGGGGCCCAAAGGGCTTGAAGATGCTTACAGTGACTGCCTCTTTCCCCATTCCCAGCTTGATTCTGAGCCCAATGCCTGCGGCAGAGCGTGGTATCCTGCCCGCGCTTAAACAGAGCCTTAAGAGTAATTTTGCGGAGCGGCAGAAAAGGCTGCAGGTGGTGCAAAGCCGGCGCCTGCACCGCTCAGTTCTCTGAGCCCAGTGCCCACAGCTGGAGGCTAGCTTTCTCTGCAGCAGTTCATATGCTTTCTACTACTTTTAAGCCACGATGAATTCCAAGACTGGGGAAACCCATGATAGATAAAGTACTTGATCTCAGAATTGAGAAACTGTTTATTTTCTAGCTATTATTTTGCTATTCTGCATTAAAACAAAACCACATTATGAAATAAATATTATGCTACCTGTTGAAGACTGAAAATAAAACTTGTTTCTCCAAGTCCTAAGTCTCCTTCCTTACTGGCTATCAGTTGTCTTCTCCTGGCCATTTGAAGTAACTCTCTGCTGGTTTGGAAGGGACCTGCCTGGGCAGCCAGGGCTTGCTCATCCCATGAGTTGGTAACTCTCCCAGAAGAGAAGCATCTCCCTGGAGGGCAGATGGTTTTCCTCTCCCTTGTATTGGCCAGGGGCTGCCTTTCCAAGCGATGATTATTCTGGGTCTCCTGCCCAGACTGGACACTGCTAGGGGCAAGATGCTGTCATTTGCTACACCAACACTGCTGATTGGTCCAGCTGAGCTGTCTTGGATGGGCCACGTCACGGGAGAATTTTCTCCTCCAGAATGCCATAGCTCCCCTCGTCAGAATAGCAGCTGCACATATCACCTTGTGGCGGTCAGTTCAGGGCCTAGTGCCATCTTACAGGCTCTCTGCCACCGTGCTCCATTTCCTGGCCATTAATCTCAGAAGGACCTTGACAAGGAATCTGGGCATGAACCAGACTGAGGAATAGTGTACTGTATCAGGAGCTAAGATCTGGAGCATCCTGGGCTAGACTGGACACTGTCCACCTGCAAGACTGGCAGCATCCCTAACAGAACAGCGGGCCCCAGCTTCACAGAGAAGGGGATGCAGTGATTAACTCATGAGAAACACGGGAATGATAAATTTATTATAAGAACCACATATGACAGGGTAGTGCACATATAAAAAGGGGAAATTATTATCACCAGAGGGCTGCCAGCTGGTGCTCAGTGTGAAAGGCAACACACGGAGGCAATGTACAGCTGCATCCCACAAGGAGCCTCCACTCTGGGGGCAGCACAGAGAATAGGGTACTCTGATGATGCCAGGTCCTCAGGACAATGCCCAAATGGTCCCTTTTCATCCCTCACAGGAGGGACATGGCATCCTTTACCCAAGAGCAGCACACGGGTACCAGGGACAGGTTCCTCCGATGCCACTGCTCTCTCACAGTGCTGAATAAGATCTTCAAGAAGTGTGAGCAGAACCCACCTAGCTGGTGGTAGGGAACTCACTGCTGCCCACAGGATAAACTTCTCTCAAAAATGGAGCCTGTGCCCTTAATCCAGGAGTGTCCCTGTGATATGACCCAACTGCCACAAGTGACACAGCCTGAATCCAAACCGATCAGAGATTGTACTTTAAGGTTTTCCTATGTCCTCCACATTCTCCTATATATGAGTAAAATGTATTCTAACCAGATGCATGGACAAGACCCTGAGTTCTCCCTCATGCTGCTCAGAGTGGACACGGAGCCTGGAGAGATCACAGGAAGTGCAGTCCAAGGAGTGTGGGATCTGATTCCCTGGAGGAAAGTGTGAGGAGAATCTTCTCTAGAAAGTGTTCCCCATGCAGACAGCTCCACAGCCAACTGGCCCAGTACTGTACAAGTATGGGGAAATGTCTGGCAGGTCCCAAGGCAGAAGAGAAAAGCAGGAAAGCTAACCTATCCCAGGCTTTTTAAGGAAGTCAACACCTAGAAACATCCAATATGAGGCATGAGTCCACAGCCCCATCAAGGCTTCTGGCTGTCCCCGCAGTTCTTGGCTAGGAGGCTGAAAGGCAGGCCTGGTGGATGCTCTGTGCCCAGGTGTTGAGCAAGGCTGTGACTGAATGCTTGTCAGGAAGCTGCAGCAGCCGGGAGGTCATGCACCGGTGCACTGACTGCAGAAAGGGGTTGGCATCTGCAACAGAGCAGCAGGCCATGAACACCAAACCCTCTCAAAGCAGTCAGACATGTCTGAACCTGGCCCATATGGACACCTCTCTGGGAAGCCCCCCAACCCCTAATCAGTCTCCTGTGCTCATCTGGAAGTAGGGCTCTCCTCCCAGAGCAACAATGTCAGTGAAAAACTGGAATCTCAATGGGATCTGGACCCACAGGTTTTCCCTCTATGACACCCTAAGGAGACTGCCTATACCCAACATAGTGGCTCTGGAGTCACTTCACCCATATAGATCCACATGCACCCAAGCTCCTGGTGGTGGGCCCATGTAAGCCCTGCTGAGCTCTAGGGGCCACCAGGATCAACTGGGTCTATCCTTGAGCAGTAGGCTTGTTTACCCCTCCCTGACTAAACATAGCTGCCCTGGAGCTGTAAGATAGGGGCAAAGGACACAATGGGGGAGGAGGTAGAGAGTCTCTTCTTCCTCCAGGTGATCACTGTTCCTCCCTGTGCAAGGGGAAACAGGAGGGATACACAGGTAATCCTGCTACATAGGAAACCCTGTTTGTCCAGAACTGACCCTTGCCTTTCCTGGGTTCCCAAATGTTTCCTCTTGGTTCACCCACCATATTGCCACTGCCGGTCAATCCACAGTGGGCTCTGGGCAGGGTAGTCAGCAGGCACACTGAGCTCCAGTGGTGGCACACTTGGGAGGTCCTTGTCGTCTGCAACACACAAGGCTGCCTGTGACCTGGCCCAAGCCTGGACCTGACACAAACACTGGCCTCAAAGCCCTGCTCCTGAACGGACCCTGCTCACAGTAAATCCAGTGTTTCTAGCAAGCAGAGCCACTGTGTATGGGGAAGAGGTAAGAGTGCATGGGCTCAGGCCTGGGAGGTTGAGGCTAGGCCACCAGGAAGGAGGAGTGAGGACAGAGTGGGCAGCTTGGTAGGATGAGTGCAGGGGCAGGCTCAGAGGAGGGAAGTACTTGTGTCTTGAAGGCTGAGCATTTCATGGTCTCTGGTATAGGCAGTAGAGTCCTGGGGCTTCCAGGTTAGGATTCACTCTCCCAAGTCACCCCTATCCTACCTGGACACTCACCAAGCTTGCATATCAGGTGGACGGTGCCGTTGTTACTGCAGTGAGAAGGGTCCAAGTTCACCAGGAACTTGGGATCTAATCTGGCCACCTCCCCTTGGAGGACGTTGGGGATGCTCTGCCGATCATCCTCCTCAAACCTGCGCTTCCGCGTACACACCACCGGGGCCCTGGAGGAGGTGGCCATGGTGACCACTCTGGTTACATGCAGCCTTTGGCCTGCAACCCACCACAAGGCCCAGCCCTGGTTGTACATACGTAATAGGTGGGCCATGGATGGCTGTCATGGCTGGAACGAATGTGCGGTACAGGGAATGGTTGAAAACGGGAGAGCGGATGTTGGCCAGGACAGCATCCAGGAGTGGTTGGCATAGATCCTGCTGCTTTGTTGGTAGCACTGGGGGTGGTGGGGGCGTGGGCTAGGGATAAGACAGACAGAGTCAGCAGCTTGAGCTTGAGGCCTCACCCATTGTGAAGAGGACTTCCAGACCCCAAGGCCATCATCCTCACCCATCACAGAATCCTGAGGATTCACCCATAACCTCCACCCCTGTGTAGCCAATGGTGGCCAATAATTGGATACAGTCCCCCACCATGGCAGCCCTGCTCAGGCTTTATTGTCTAAGGGCAGCACCTTGTGCTGGGCTGGCAGATGCACCCGTGGGACCAAGGTCAGAAGGTGACTTTGTGTTCCCACTCTCCACAGCAATTGGGCCTGAAAGAAGCCTTGTGGGCAGAGTTCCCAGGTTAGGCCTAGACCCAAGCCCTGATTGCCCTTGACCATGAATGCTCCTCCCATACATCTTCTGAGATGCTGTGAGGTAAGCCTTGACTTCCCTAGAGGTGCCTGAGACTCCACTCACCACCGCCATGTCATTCTTGAGTTTTTCCAGGGCAATCTCACACTTCTGCAGGGTCTTCAAGGGACACCTAAGGAGAGATAGAATGCAGGCTGGTGTCTGTGCAAGAAGGCTTGGGGAGTCAGTGACTCTTGGGTGCTGATCCCAATCATTGCCTGCCTGGCCTCTCTAGGCTTTAGTCATTGGAAACCTCCACAGAAACCCCAGCTAGTAGCCAGCTGCTCCCAAACCAGGCTAAGGCCTCAGTCTTATCTAGGCCAGTCCCTGTCCCCCTTGGCCCTAAAACCCCAATGAATAATTAACCCAAGAAGACCTGGAGGGCTGTGGAACAGTGATTACCATTCAACACAGATAAGCAGAATTAAGAGAAACTTCTAGAAAGGAAGCAAGAGCTTGAGCTGAGGCAGTAAGATAGGAGAGAAATAATGTGCACAGTTTTGCAGTGCTGTCCTAGCTCAGGTGCTCATAGCAGCCCATGGTCATCAGGTAGGGAAAAGGGATGAGAAGAAGGCAAGCCATGGCTACCCACATATTTCTCATAGGCATCACCTATAGCTTCATTTCCACAATGAGCCACATGGCTGCTGCTAGCCCTGCAGCAGACAAGGTGACTGAGACATAGCTGCTAGCTAAAGATTACTGAAAAGTTGGGCAGAGCTAAAGATTAGCCTCAAGCAGATGTGGTGAGGCCATGTAAACCAGGACCTGAGGAGACAAACTATGGTGGCCAAAGGATAGAAGCATGAGCTCCACAGCAGTGGCTGTGGAGTAGGGCAAAGGCTGGATGCTGGAGGTGAAGTCTGGGATTGAAGCCCCAATACATACCTACATGGAGCCTCAGAGGCTTCTGGCAGGGCTCAAAGACCTGCTGGACCACTTTGCTAAACCCAGGTCATCACAAGCTCTGGGAGCCCTCCACGAGCTGTGGTATAGCACTATTCAGCCCCAGAACCCTCTGCAAAGCTCACCTCTTAGAGGGGTCAGTCAGAATGTCCAGAAGGCTCTTCATCTTACTCAGGTCCTTTTTCCTGTCTGAGACAGAGAGAGGACACTAAGATGTAGGCTCTGAGTGTCTGTGGGGCCCTTGTACCCAGCCCTGGCCTCTGGCCCCACCTTCATTCTTGTCAATCTTGTTGATCATCCGGCGCAGGGGCTCAATATACTTGGAAAGTTGCTTCAGCTTGTCCAGGTATTGTTGTTCCTCTGCCTGGCTGGAGCCTGCTGGGCTCATGACGGAGCTGGGGTTCACTGTGGGACATGGTTCATGAGGCTGACTCTCAGTGAATCCTTAGGTGAGGTGCTCAGGCTCTGAGTGATCTAAGAGCTCTTGCACTCCTTACAAGTTGTAAGGTCTTATGAAGGTGACTCTTGACACCTCCCAGGGCTCTGCCCACCCCAGCGGCAGGTCTCACTTACCAGGGGTATTTAAAGGTCCAGGGGAGGGCACACTGAAGTTCTGTGGGGTGCGAGCTGTCACTGGGCTCTGGGAGGGCTGTGGTGAGGGGCTGGGCAGGAAGCTGCTGGGGGATGGAGCAGGGCCGGAGCTGCAGCCAAATGAAAGGAAGCTGATCTGAGCCAGGGGCACTGGGCAGGCCTGCCCTAAGGGCCAGATGGGGAGGGCCATTCTTGGCCAGGCCTACCTGACATTGGAATTGGGCTGTGAGCCGGGCTGTGGAGATGGTTGGGGAGGGGGAGGCATCGACTGTGGGGTCTGCACCTGCTGGCCCGGCGATGGTGAGGACAGCATAGTGAGGCTGCTCTGGCTGACCTGGAAGAGGAGGGGCTCAGCTGGCTCACTGTCAAACACTCCTGCCTGCCTCCATGCTATCTGCCCACTGCCCCCACAGGCTTCACCTCCCTCATAGCCTCACCCTATATCCTTGTCTTCTTCCAGATGCCACTTAGATTCACTTAGCAAAAACCCCATCCCTGGGCACATAGTACACAGTGACCAAAGCTGGTGGGAAGGCTAGATGGGCAGCCCCAGCTCTTTGGTTGAAAGGCCATGAGGACTCTGGGTTTCTGGGTTGCAACAGACCATAGCTTTTTGCTCCTGGGTTCTCAGGCATGGGGGGTGTGAATAGAAGGTGATGGCCTCATGTGTCCCTTGCCATACCCTGTCTTGCCTGGGATGCTGCCCTCTATGGGTCAGTAAGGACATTGCTCTGCTGTGGGAAAGTCTTCCACAAACTGTCTGCTGACTGCACTGAGAATAAGGCCAGCCATCTGAATCTCCTGTCCTGATACATGCAGATGGCAACTCCCTACTTGACCAGTAGGGGGCAGCAGGGAGATCATGTCTTACACTGTCCCACCTGGACCTACTTAATTAGAACAAGGTGGTTGGAAGAGCCATGTGCATATCCACAGGAAGCACCTGCATCAGTCTTACCAGTGACCCTGGTCCCTCAACTGGACTAGTAGAGTCCACTGGGACAGGTGACTTAGCATCAGAGCTGCCTGGGCTCAGAGCTTGGCTCTGTCATGCAAGTGTATGCACCTGAGTCCTTAGAGGCTGTCCCTGTCCACAGAGCAGGGCTGTTCCTGCTCCCTAGTCTGTGTTGGGAACAATCCAAACGCAGTCATCTGTACCACTATCAGCACAAGGGACACCATCTTTTTTACCTGTGAACTCCAAGGGATTGAAACTGTAGTAGCCAGGCATCAGGGAAAAGATGTAGGTACCCATACCTTCCAAAGGAGAAGTGTAAGATGGCAGTCTAGATAAGAACAGTTGCATGCCAGCCCCTTGCCATAATGTGACCACCCTGAAGGCCCTGCTTACTTCAGAGGTTCCCAGGGGCCTGAGGTGGCATCTCCCACATCCTAGTCAATGAGGTACACTGAGCACCTCTCCTAGCCTCACTTGACTCCTGGACCATCCAGTTTTGCAGACCAGCTCAAGTGCCCTCCCAGGGCACTCTGAGGATACTGATGCCCAACTGGGGCGTCCAACACTTCCCTCCCATGTACTCTTCTGCCACAGTGCCAGGAGTACTGGGTAAGGACTACTCTGAGTGGGTTCTCAGCTCCTCAAATTGGGAACAGACTCAGATCCCACCAGGAAGATGATGCCTGCCCTTGTCCCCACCCACCTATCAGTCAAGCAGAGGAGGGCAAGGGAGCTGGAGGTAGTCTGCTCAGTACCACATGGATCAAGGTCATGGAATGAAATGTCACCTCCCTTTTGCTCACTGGCTTCCCCACCTGTTTCCATTGACTGTGCCAGGCAGCACTGCCCTGGGTGCTAGGTGGAGACTGCCCCTGGCACTATATGCAATGGGGTGTCAGGGTGCACAAGGCACCATATCATGGTGCTCCCCACATGATTGGGTCAGAGGCTCTAAACCAAAACCATGGGCCCAGGGGACAATAATAGAATGAACTGTTTTCATCACTTTGTGACTAAGACACCCCTGGCTAGGGAATGAAAGGGCAAGAGCAAGGGAGCTTGGACCTCTAGTTGGTGGGCCCAGTTACTCCTCCAAGTGTATTCACGCTAATGTGAAACATGTTTCATCTGTAAAATGCTGAATTAAATGCAGCAGGCTTCTCCTATGTAGGTCCAATACAATCATGGTGCTGGCTACACTGTAAATCCTGGGAAACCAGGTCAGGTGGTATGTTCCACACATTGGAAAACATGTTTCAGAAGCAACCCAGATGCTAACAAAATGTAGGACCAGAAGTTCCATGCAAAGAACTACAGACAGTGCCAAGGAGCAGAGAGCAAAGGTCCTGAGGCCCCATGCCCATCAAAGCCCTGTCAGGCAGGATCCTACCTATAGTGAGTTCCTCCCTATCCCTGTCCCTCATGTATCCCCAGGAGGCCCTGCCATCCCTGGTCTTTCCCTAGCATGAGTCCCCACCTGCTGCTCCATCTGCATTCAGCCCCTGCTCAAACAGATGTCCCTTATAGGAGATGGTCAGACCTTGTTTGCAGCCTAAAAGTTTGCTGCCTCTCTGGCAAATAGTAGCAAGATACCCATAGGGCATCATGGCTGGGTATGGATGCTACAGCAGGAAGACTGTCTCACAACCATGTTCTACCTCAGCTCTCAGTCCCTGGGGGCACAGCACATGTAGCTGACACCCTCTGTTTTTAATGAGAGGATGGGGTTCCAAGTAGTTGTGTCTGGCATGAGACAGCATGTTTAAGACAAGGTGAAGGGTGGATGGCTCAGAAAGCATCCAGTGGAGGTAGGACATCCAAGTCCAGGCCAGGAATCATGCCCCAGGGAACCAAAGGGCCTTTCTCCTCTGTCCAGGTAAGCCTGGGTCCCCAGCACCAGGTTTTTCTAGTCACCCTAACATAATCTAGAAGCTTCTGCCTAAACTTTCTCCAGGATCCACGCTGGCACACAGGTCTGCTCATGTATGAGGCTCCTCCAGACCCACCCATACAACTGTCTGACACCCTGAATCCCATTAGCACCTCACTGGGGCTGGGCCACCCAGAAAAAGCCCCAACACTTCTACTTTGGTCCCCGAAGAGCCCCCAGGCACACACAGCAAATGGGCCCATCTCAGCGTTTCAGTTGTCCCAGGACAGGACAGCTAGCAGACCCCAGAGGGCTGGAGGTGGGGAGAAATTTCCAGTAAGAAAAGGAAAACAAACCACAGACAATCTTTCACTTCCAAGAACAGGAAACCTGGGCCCTTCAGTTTGGCAGTGCTGGGTGGTCCAAGTCCCAAGTTACCTTAGACACACATGGTACAAGGAAGAGCCTAGTACCTCAAACCCATCTTAAGACAGAATTGGCCATTCTAAGGCAGCCAGTGGGACAGGAAAGAAACCCAGCCCACAGGGAGTAGAGAGGGAGCTGCCAGTGCTGCTCTCTAGTCAGGGAGGGAGCACTTGGGGGAAAAAAGAAATTGCCTTCTATGCTCTCAGGTAATAGTCGGCCACTGGCATGGATATGGGTCTGTCAAGCCACCAGCAAGAACCACAGGATGAGAATGACACATATCTCACACACCCTGCACACTACTTGTTACCTGCATGTCACAGGTGACAACATAAGAGCTCAGAGAGAGGTGACATGCTCATGGTCACACAGCTAGTGTGTTGCAGGGGAAGCACAGGCACGGTAAATGTGTCTTAGCATTAATGGCAAAATCTGCTTTCCTGGGAAAGCACAATAGCTTAGACAGAAGCTGTGGGGCTACACAGGGTGGCCAGGCAAGATGGATGAAGAGTAAGGGAAAAGAACTGGGAGGACAGAATGGGAAAGGGGCAATGGCCCAGAGGTAGAACAGAAAGGCTGATCTAGACAGCTTCATTCCACAAAGAATCTCAGGACAGACTGGTACCTAGCTTTCTCTAGACCACCAGTACCTGTTCAACACCCCAGAACTGCCCATTGCTCCTAGCCCAGCACTTAAGTGTGTCCCCTGAAATCACCATCTAGAAATATAGAGGAGCATGGTCATATTGTGGTACTACCTCCTTATGCCTTCCAAGGGAGTACTAGGACAGAAGTTCTGTGTTACCCAGCTGAACTCTTGGGCTAAGGCACTGTGTCTGATATGTCTGGAACATATCAGACATGCTGTCATGTTTGTCAGAGTCCATGAAGCATTCCTACAGTAACACAAAGATACAGCCATGGAACTAAGGAATAACAAGAGGAAATGTAGGTGTTCTGTTGCTTTTTCTCGACACATCTCTTCTGGGGATCTCTATCTCCATTAGTGTCAGTGGGGTTCTTAGGAAAAGGCAACAGCCGGGCGTGGTGGTGCACACCTGCAATCCCAGGGGCTGAGGAGGCTGAGACAGGAGGACTGTGAGTTCAAAGCCAGCCTCAGCAACTGTGAGTGCTAAGCAACTCAGTGAGACCCTGCATCTAAATAAAATACAAAATAGAGTTGGGGATGTGGTTCAGTGGTCAAGTACCCCTGAGTTCAATCTCTGGTACCCACCTACCCCCACAAAAAAGAAGAGGCTGGAAATGTTGCTCAGTGGCAGAGTGCTTGCCCAAAATATTCAAGGCCCTAGGTTCATCCCCAGCAGCCCCCTACACACACACACACACACACACACGAGTAACAAGAGTAACAGAATGCTTACACTTCCACTAGCTTCTTGGTCCCAATGTGTTGCCACAAGGAAAAAATAAGACATGGTGGATGCTGAATTATGTCCTGCTGAAGAATGAGTTCAGGTTGCTAGGGGAGGACAGCAGAAAAAGGATGTGCCCGGAAGACATCCAGTGTTAGGAGACACTGGAAAGCACAAGTAGGTGTAAATTCCAGTCCAGCCCACTGGCCAGATGAGCAACCAGGCAGCTCCTGGCTAGTTCACCACCCCATCCCCACTCGTGCCAAGAACAGAACCCTGGGCCTTGGGTATGTTAGGTAAGTGCTCTACCACTGAGCTACATGCCCAGCCCTTGGCTAGATTTTAAGGATACATTCCTGGGATAAGCTTTCTTTTCTTGAGAGGGTTTGGATTAGAAATACACATCAAAAAAGACTGCCATGGGCTGGGGTTGTGGCTCAATGGCAGAGCACTCGCCTAGCACATGTGAGGCCCTGGGCTCGATCCTCGGCACCACATACAAATGAATAAATAAATTAAAGGTATTGTGTCCAACTACAACTAAAAAATAATTATTAAAAAAAAAGTCTGGCATGTTTCTGGAGCTAGCCAGGGTGGCAGACGAATGCCCAGTGTGTAGGGCCCAGGTGCTTCACACAATTCAGGGATCCTTTGAACAGGAGCTAACCATAGCCAGATGTGCAGGAGTTGCAGAGGGGAGACAGGCTCTGAAGCCCCAGACAAGCCTAATGTTATGGGACTGTGTGGAGACAGAAGGAGGAAAGTTACTTGAGGGAAGGGTCATGATTACATAGAGCACTGTGTGGGCAGTGGGGTGGTTTCCACACTGGGGTTCTCTTCATCAACTTTTCCTTCTGTAAGTATTTTTAGGGCCACCTTTTTCTCTATGGGCAAGCAAGAGTGAGCCTGGATTAAAAAACAAAACCAGAACTTTGCCCAAGTTCCTTGTTGCCAAAAATCCTCTGTGGAGACAGAAGTATTTTCTAAATGATACTGCATTTGTCCTCAATACACCACCCCAAAGCTTCAGATGTACACCCACCATCCTGCACTGGGGAAACATGGCAAATACATCTCTGTGGAGTTAGCAGGCATCTTCTGGTGATGACTCTATCACTGAAGCCACATGAGGATGAACCAAAATTCTCTGTGCATAAACTTTATTTTGGCTTTATCTTACTTTTTCTCTTTCCTCTTTTCTACCTAGCTTCCCTGCCTTTGGGTTTGGGAAGGACTATAGGCAGTAAGATTTATTTAGTTGACACAACTCAGGGGACAAGGTTTATGTAGAAGGGAGCATGGAAGGCTGTGAAGTGGGGGGTGTCTGTGAGAAGTCCAGGTAGAAACTCCAGCAGCTGGCTGTGTGGGCAGTGGCCACTACGCAGCAGTGTGAGAGCAATAAAAGGCCCAGGACAGAACCCATCACTGCAGGCATGGTAGAGCCCATCCAGGAGCATGGCTCCAACTGGGAAGAGGGATAAGATTGGCAGCCCAGCAGTAAGATCAAAGTTGAGGGGTTTCTAGAAGAATCCTACTGAGAAGCTGAGGTGTGAGAATTTCATTTGAACCCCTGATCCTCAACATGTCAGCTCCTGGGGCCCTTCTCATTTCTTTCTTTCTTTTTTTAAAATTTTAATATTTATTTTTTAGTTTTTGGCAGATATAACATCTTTTTTTGTATATGGTGCTGAGGATCGAACCCAGGCCGCACGCATGCCAGGTGAGCGCGCTACCACTTGAGCCACATCCCCAGACCCCCTTCTCATTTCTTTTCTTTTTCTGGGGGATTACTGGGGATTTAACCCAGGGGCAATTTACAACAGATCTACATCCTCAGCGCCACCCCTGCTTTGTATTTTGAGAAAGAGTCTCACTAAATTGCTTAGAGACCTTGCTAAATTGCTGAGACTGGTCTCAAACCTGCTACTCTCCTGTTTCAACCTCCTGAGCCACCATACCTGGCCTTTCTTATTTCTTAAAAGGGGCTAAATGCTTAAACTGTGTCCTGGAGCACTGAGAAACACAGAACTACAGACACAAAGAACCTAGCCCAACACCTAGCATGTATCACACCCTCAAAATGTTAGGGACTCTCGTTTTTATAAAGTCAGTCCTATATGCTGTTGCTGAAGTTATCCCCACCTGACTCTGTGAAGCCAATGGGTACTAAGCCAGAGCCCTAGACTTCCTTCTATGAAGGAGGCCATACAGGCACCACCTTACTGGCTTGGTTGTGACTACACTGTGAGAACAGTGCCTACATGCTGGCCCTCAGGGAACAATAGGGCTAGGATTACAGATGCATTTCCCTGTAATGGAAAAGGAATTTTAAAGGTCTCCTGGCAAATCTGAGATTTTTCACAAAAACACACATAAAATGAAAAGCCCATGTGATGAGAGAACTTGAGCACCATTTTATTTTCAGAATCTCAGAACATTGCTTAGCACACAGGACATGCGCTGTCTGTTTAACAAATAAATATACCATGGGATGATTTTAAATTTTACTTGAGAATGAAAAACCAGGAATTCATTTCCCTGAAAAGTATAACACATATACAAGTCTATATCTACCTAGGAAAGTGTGTGTATAGTAAATTCTCCATTCTGTGAAATCTAGAACAACTTGGTCCAGTACAACATATTTTGGGTGGAGGAGACAAGACAGACTGGACACTTTACCACTGAGCTACATCCCCAGCTCTTTTTACTCTTTGATTCTAAGACAGGGTCTTACTAAATTGATGAGGCTGGCCTCAAACTTACGATCCTCCTGCCTCAGCCTCCTGAGCTGCTGGGATTATAGGTGTGCATCACCATACCCAGCTCTAACACAACTTTTGTTCATGGTGGCCATCTTCTATGATCTGTGCTGTACAGTGAGCTTCCCCGCAGGATTACTGGGTGCTCAAAATATAACTGGTACAACTGAGTAACTACAATTTTAGTTTTATTTAATGTTGATTTAAATGTAAATTACCACACATGGTTAGTGGCCACAGTGTTGAGATTGCACAGTCCTAGAAAGCACAACTATTTGCTTGGCTTCTATTTTATTTTACCGTGAAAATGATAGCAGCATGATTATCTTAAACTAGAGGGGGGGAGCAGATATTTATTTATATCCCCTTGAGAAATACTGCTGGGCTTGGCCTCATTTAAACAAACAAACAAACAAACAAAAAACCAATGACACCTGATTTGGCACTCTGAAAGCCACCATGCAGAAAGTCACCAAGGATGACAGGTGCGCTTTACAAAGGCGCTCAGAGGAACCCCGAGCTCCCGGCCGAGCCCTATACGTGGCCCAGTCCTTAAATACCTGTGCTGTGGGCTGTCCGCCCAAAGGGATGGAGCTCGACTGGACGGCAGACATGGCAGAAGCGGGTGGGAACCGGGCTCTTACGTGCATCCCGCCTTGGGCCAAGGCTTCAGCAATCATCTTTGAGGACAGAGGGACAACAGACAAGGTGATTGCAACAAGAATCGCAGTGCATGGCAGGTGGAAAGGGTGTGTGCAATCTCTGCAAGAAGGACCGTCAGAGTGAGGTACCCTTGGGGCAGCTTGGAGCAACCTGAGAGGAGGAAGAGTTCAAGCTCACAGCATCTTCAGGCCTGGCTAGGAATCAGGGATCTAGAAGTTGGCCCACAAAATGTCAGAGTCAGACCTCAAGGGCCAAGGCAAGACAATGGTCTGGGAAACCACAACCTTAGGATAGACTTGAGAGAAGTTGAGGATCACTGAAACAGAAGACAAGCTCAGATAAGCCTGCTCAGAAATGCATGTCTTAGAACTCAAGCTCAAACCACTTCCTCTTCTCCAGGTCTCTCTGGGGTTGCTGGTCCTGCTTTCCATGGAGGAATTGGTTCTCTCTCATTAATTAAAAATGGGTGGAGCCAGGCATGGTGGCACCTGCCTGTAATTCCAGCAATTTGGAAGGTTGAGGCAGGAGGATTGCAAGTTCAAAACCAGCTCAGCAACTTAGTGAGGCTCTAAGAAACTTGACGAGACCCTCAAAATATTAAAAAAAAAAAAAAAAAGGGCTGGGGATGTAGCTTGGTGGTACAGTATCCTTGGATTCAATTCCTAGTACCAACAAAACAAAAAACAAAAACAAATCACGGGAGAAGGTGGGCAGGAGAGCCTTGGTCCTCCCTGGTGGGCTTCCTCCCTTTAAATGATGGACGGATGCACTTCCACAGAGATGCCTGTTAGGGATGTTCTTAAATGCCAAAGATCCTCTCAGAGGCTAGAACTCCAGCCCCAACCAGCTGAACCTTTCCTTGTCAATTTATACTTCATGAACTATAAAGGCAAAAAAGTAGGCTGAGCATTGTTGTGGTTCTGGGCCTGCCATGCTCAGAACTGTCACAGAACACAAACTAGAACAAAACAACCCAGGTTCAGAAAGAATGCAGGACTGACCTATAGGGAGAACAAAAACAAAACAAAACAAAACAAAAACCATTGAGGTGGAGGATCACTTCAACCCAGGAGCTTGAGACCAGCTTGATAACACAATGAGACCTCATTTCAAAAACAAAAAACTAACCAACTAACCAACTCCCATCAAATTCTAGGAGGTTGTGAGCTAGACCACTAGATCAAGACAGTGCTACAGGGCACTCAGTCCACACAGCAAGGTTGTCAAAGACAGGGCTCCAAAGCAGGACACAGGCTGCAGGAACACCTCTAGCATCACATGACGGGCCCATGCTCACACACATGGGGTACAATGCAGGAGCAGCAGATGCCAACTAGAACCTTACAATCTTAGGAACAATACAGTCCTCATCCATGTCTGCAGTCAAATTAAAAAAAAAAAAAAAGAATCATCTTACTAGAGGCTAAGGAAATGATTCTGATAGTCTATCAAAACATGGGCCAGGTCTCAAAGAGTCTGCCACTCATAGGCCACTGTCAGACACAAACATGTTGGGGTCTGTGAGGGTCCGCTGCCTTTCCCGAGGTAGGTACTCTCCTTGGCTCTCGTGAGAACTGGAGAATGGCAGGTAGGGGTGATAGCATCCATTCACAACTAGCCACTGCAGTCAAGAGAATCCTGGCTACAGTGCTCCCTCCAGAAAAGAGAAAGGTCCGGTAGGAAGTCAGATGGTTTGAGAGGTACTGGTCCGGTAGGAAGTCAGATGGTTTGAGAGGTACATTCTTTTCATGGGGGGGGGGGGGAGATAAGAGGGCCAACCATGGTAGTGCAGGCCTAGAAACCCAGTGCCTTGGGAGACTGAGGCAGGAGGATTACAAATTCAAAACCAGCCTCAGCAACTTACCAAATGCCCTGTTTCAAAAAAAAAAAAAAAGGGGGGGGAGGGGATGCAGATGTGGCTCAGTGATTAAGCGACCCTGAGTTCAATCTCTCCTACCAAAAGAAAAAAAATGAATGAAAAGCTCAAGTCTACTTTGCTGCTGATTGGTTTTCTTTTAACCAGAAATTCCAGTGAAAACATGCCAGTAATGTTCACTGGATGAGATGAGCCAGTCACTAACCAATGACTCATATCAAGTGATAACACTTCAATTACTTCTCAACACATAGCTGCCCAAAAAGGAATTTCAAGGAATTCCAGGAATCCCTGCTACAGCTCTAGCGGATTCACTATGTGGTGATTGGTGTGTATGTGTGTGATAGAGTCCTCTGGGGCTGGTCAAGGAAGAGTGGCTGTTAAATCAGATACTTTAATGCACATCCATAACAAATGTCTATTATTGATGACAATTTCCTTCTTCCCTTTTTTTTTTTTTTTTTGTGTGTGTGTGGGGGGGTTGGGCGGGGATACTGGGATTAAACCCAGAAGCATTCTGCCATCGAGCTACATCCCCAGCTCTTTTTATTTATTTATTTATTTATTTATTTTCAACACAATGCCTTTATTTTTAAGTGGTGCTGAGGATCGAACCCATGTCCTGCCTGCGCTAGGCGAGGGCTCTACTGCTGAGCCACAATCCCAGCCCCTCTTTTTATTTCAAGACAGGGTCTAAGTTGCCCACACTGGCCTTGAACTTGAGATCTTCCCACCTTAACCTCACAAATCACTGGATTACAGTCATATACCACTGTGCTATGGTGATGACAATTCTTTGTAACCTGTAAATTATACCTATTTTGTTTCGTTTTTTAATTTTGAGACAGGGTCTTGCTAAGTTGCCAGGGCTAACCTCATACTTAAGATTCTCCTGCTTCAGCCTCCCAAGTCAATAAGGTAGCTAAATTTCATGTACTAAAATGGAAGGTTAAAAGATAAAAGCTTAGCCAGGGGGCTGGGGTGGTGCTCAGTGGGAGAGCACTTGCCTATCATGTGTGAGGCACCACATATAAATAAGGTAAAGATCCATTGAAAACTAAAAAATAAAAAAAAGTCAGGAATGGTGGTGCAGGCCTGTACTCCCAGCAATTCAGGAGGCTGAGGCAGGAGGATTATGAGTTCAAAGGCAGCCTCAGCAGATTAACAATAGGCACTTAGCAACAAGGTACTTAGCAACTCAACGAGACGCTGTCTCTAAATAAAAAACATTAAAAAAAAGGGCTGGGGATATGGCTCAGTGGTTAAGTGCCCTGGGTTCAATCCCCAGTACCAAAATAAAATAAAGGATAAAAGCTTAGGGATTATGTGAAAGTAGAATCACATTCTGTCATCATTTTACAGGAAAGAAAGAGAAGTCTATTGTGTCTAATAAATTCCCCTGAGGGTGACATCATCTCTCCCACCTACAAGAATATCAGATAAGAGAGATCCAAAGAGCCAGGAGAACATAGCACAGGGCCAACCCAATTCTCCTAGAACATCCATCCCAAGTGGAGAGTCTGACCACCCATCATCATACTCATTAACCTAGAATGAGTGCAGGCTCCACAGGGGGCCTCTCTGAAGCTTTCAGAGCAAATTTAAAGGATGAGGCATGGAAAATGGATTCATAAGGCCCCCCCATCCTGTTATCACTTTCATGGAACTGGCAGTGTGTTCTATAGCTTGAGGCAGCTCACACATATAAATTTGCAAAACTTTGTTGGTCACTGTATCCTGATGTCAAATTTGTGAGACTATACCAGGGAGTTCCAGTTTGCATCTTTGAGCTCCTAGTTAGACAACTGGCTGATAAGATTCAAGGGCTCTCAAAGAGACTGACTCACTTTTGAAAAGCTGCAGGAAACCATCTAGAACTCAGCCATGCATCACTTGGTAATAGCAAAAAATTGGAAATTACCTAAAGATCCAATAATAAGACAATACCTAAGGATAGAAAGAGACAGAAGAGTATTGTATAGTCACTCAAAATAATGCTGACCAGTGGTTTCTTTTTTTTTTTCCTTTTTAACACAATGCCTTTATTTTTATGTGGTGCTGAGGATCGAATCTGGGTCCCGCCTGTACTAGGCGAGTGCTCTACCGAGTGCTCTACCACTGAGCCACAATCCAGCCTGACCAGTGGTTTCTAATTATAGGATGCTATACTTTGGGTCTGGAATGTCCCCCACAAGCCCATGTGTTAGAAGTCTGGTTCCAGGTCTAGGGCATAGCTCACTGGTGGAGTGTTTGCCTGGCATCTGTAAGACTATCCATTCCCAGCAATGCAAAAAAAAAAAAAAAAAAAAAAAAAAATTAAAAGGCTTGGTTCCTAGTTTGGCATTATTGGAAGGCAGTGGAAGCTTTAAGATGTAGGGCCTTACAGAAAGTTTTTGGCTAAATATGGGTATGCCCTTCAGGGAGACTGTGGAAAGCTGATCTCTTCCTCTCTTTTGCTTCCAGACCACAATCCAGTGGCAGCTTGCTCTACAACATACTCCTTGCCCTAATGTGCTGCCTCACCAAAGGTTCAAAAGTAATTGGTCCAAGCCAACATGGGCTAAAACCTCCAAAACTCTGAGTCAAATAAACCCTTTTTAACATTATCTCAGACATTTTGCTATAGTAAAAGAAAATTGACTAAAATGCAACAGAACATTTCACTTATATACTAACATGGAAGATAATGGACATAAAACCCCAGACAGTAAGACTTTGACAATGTGAAAGAACCAGAAAGGGGACACCAAACTGTTTCTCTCTAGACTGTTTCTTCTACATTTCTCCCTACTTTCTATCTGATATAGTTATCACATATAAAGTTTTAGAGATCAGAATACCGTGGTCTCTCTTTGTCTTCTGTGGTAACCCAGGTTCCAAAGGAAGGCTATGAATCCAAGAATGCCCCCTCAGGAGGGCTTGTCCCACCAAGCCATAATCCCAGGATCCTGCTGTTACCAGAACAACTTAATGAGTTTGACTAACCAGCCTACATGAGAAAATGCAACATGACAAGATTAAGGACTGCAAGAAAACCTGTAGAAGGAGAAGGACCAAATCTTTGTATGCCGTATCAGCCCTAAAAAAGCAGAATATGGACATGTACTCTCTATTCCTGGGCTTTGAGAACCTATGAAGCTCTGCCACCAGCACTTGGCAATTCCACCATACAACAACAAAAGTCACAGGGCATTGTAGGGGAAGTGGCTCACATTACTGAAAACACTGAAGGCACAATCTCCAGAAAACAAAACCCACTTGGAGATAAACCAAGATAGTAACTACTTTCTAGAGATCCTGAAAGCTTTCCATAGTACCTACGTGAATAGACTGGCCAGGGCCCAACCTCACCTTAGCTCTATCTGCCACTGACTCTCAGTGTGTATTTGAATGGGTTGGGAGACAATTAATAATCAGGTTGTGTGCTACAGAGGTGACTGTGCCCATGGCTGGCCATGAGTCCATGCTAGAACAGGGCCTCCACCAAAAGCAGGGGGGTGTGGAATTAGCAGAAGAGCTACACATCCTACACAGAAGCTCAGTGCAGGGTACTGAGCATACACAGTTGGCATTCTGCTTCTGGCAGCTGATGAATGCTAGCAAAGCGACAGAGTATACATTCCCTTGAACTAGCAGCCCATCAAAAAGTCAGCACACTAGCTGCATATGTTGCCCGTTCCATGGCTGCTAGTTTTCCAAACATGGGATGAAAAGGTAACTTCTCCCTTTCATACTAGTTAGGCCAGAGGTGCAGAGTTTTCCATGAAGTGGGTTCCAAGGTCAAAAAGCAGCAAGGGCAGTGGCTTCCATTGGCAGGGTAGTTACCATGTGCCACTACTGCTGACTCTGAACACACTCTCAACTCCTTTGTACAGCAGACCAAGACGAAGAATTCCCCAGGAGGCCTGAGAACACATTTAAGACATACAGCAGTGGTAGTGAAGATGACTTTCAACCTCACACAGGCTGGTCAGCCTTTTCTAGCTACAACCGTGAAGTCTATGTTGCATTTCACACAAGGCCCCGTTTGAGCAGGCAGGTGATATGGGCACCCTGGGCCCAGGTCACTTAGAGGAAGGTTGTAAGTAGCTGTAGCCAAATGTCTCTATTGGTACATGTCTCAGGCAGGGTCCCAGGACTTGAGCAATGCAGTGGGAACCAAGAAGGGCTATTACTTCCTCCCCAGAGTGAAATGATGTCTGACACAAAGGATATACCACATCCTGAAGTACCTGACACACAAGTTCTGTGCAACTGGCCACCAAGCTCAATAGGTTCACAGGTAAGCACTGCAAGAACACAGCTGACGGTTTCCTGAGAGCAGCAAGATACACTAAGAGTGCCAGCTGTGGGCTAGCATCCAGCAAAAGCCTCACTACATCAACCAATATGTTCTGATTTTTTCCTAAAGCTAAACCCCTCTGAATCAAGACTAGCATGTGGACCCAGGAAGGATCCAGGATTCAACTAGATGTCTCCTAACATTATCACCAGCATGAAGGTGAGGCACATGTATCAGAGACAAGTCCTAGGGACCCTGGATGTCTAATCCCTAGACACTAGGCAAGGTTAGAAAAAACATCCTATATGCCACCATTCCACTCACTGGTACCTGATATGCAGAGAATGGGATTGTGCCAGTCAGCAACAAGGAATTGGTGCACACTTCTGCCCACGTAGTGAACAAATCCCTGAAGGCAGAGCAAAGACAAGGATGCCCTCTCCTATACTGCTACTGTGGCACACGCCTGGTGCATGGATTCTAGAGCCAGGTGCCCAATACTGTTTCCATCCTCTTCCTAGTTTTTAGAGAGCTAGCAGTCAGTTCTATACAGGAAGCTCAAATGGAAGATGAAATGTGGATGAAACTGTGGTGCTCTCCTCTCTAATGTACCTTTTCAGTCTGGTAGAAAGACAGGAAGATGAAGGATGTTTATTCTAGGCAGTTGGTTGGGTCCCAGTAATGACCAAGCAGAGGTGGCTACCCTGAGGATCTTGAAGTTATCTCATAGAGGGGAAAGGAGAGAGGATTCCTCATGCTTTACCAACTAGGCGAATAAGCCAACCAGGACCCTTGTACAGCTTTGTGTGCTAGTGATTAAAGAAGCTCCTAACTCCCAAAGTCCCTCACCTGGACTCCAGGAGCCACCATCTGGGTAGTCTGAGCTGTCTGCACAGCTGCCTGCTGCTGTACCTGGGGCTGTACCTGGGGCTGCACTTGCGGCTGCACCTGCGGTTGCTGGACCACCATCGGAGCTCGCACCTTGAGGAAGGAAGGGAGAATGTATTTTGGAGCAACTTTGGGCAGAGAGCAGAGTACCACTATCTCTATGGCAGCTTTTGAGAACTGAACCTTTAAGAATTAAGGATGGAACTTTCTTGACTTCATGGGCTACGATGTCACCTTACTAGCCATCGCTGATCCTATAAGGTCATCAGAAAAATCCCATACCAGCCAAGTTCTGAGTTGGTGGAGCTGAGCCCCATATCTCCCATATCTGGCGAGCAGCAGTGCAGCCTTCCCACTGGGACCCTCCATACACCTGTTAAAGCATGACTGCAAGCAAAGCCATGTCTGGAGGTGAGCAGTGTCCAGCCTGCTTATTCTCTGGCCAAACATGCTGATGGTCCATGAGATCCCTAAACAGAACCCATACTCCTTGAAGGAAACCAGGTCTGGCCAGCCAGTACCAGGCTCAGCTAGAAAAACAAGTATGGGCAACAGGCAGAGAGGAAAAGTAGGCAACTGAGGGACCTCCACAGGAATGAGGTAGGCCTTGGTCAGACACAGACAGGTAGCACCTCCCTAGATGTCTCCAAGCCGCAAGACCCAATTCCAAAAGGGGACACACCCTACCACACAAAGGTTCAGGTCCTAGTAGGGATGCCAGGATTGGGGGGTGTCTCTCATGTGACAGGTGAGTGACTGTTCCTCAAAACCCTCCCAGTCTGCCTCTGTGGGACCTCCTCTTCACCCTGATACTCAGTTCAGGTGAGGCCCCTGGCCCCATGCCACTTAATGAATCACAAAAGAGAAAAGGCCACAAACACCAAGGGAGCCGAGAAGATGTCCAAAATATGGTCCCCATCATGGCCACCTCTGTCTTGGTAGTGATAATCTGTCCTCTATGTCATGGACTGTATTTACATTGTATAGAGATGTACAATGAGACTGAAAATAATTATATTTTATGAATATTCTTCTCAAAAATATGGTAATGACAAGGCTAAAAGATCTTGGCTCAGGGCTGGGAGTGTGGACCAATGGCAGAACATGTGCTTGGCATGCCCTATTTTCCAATCCCAGTATACATGTGAGTGTATGCACACATACATGCATACAAACCTTAGCTCAGAACATAACTTCAAACACATGGACACCTGATGGATCCTGTGGGACATTCTCCCACATGGTGAGGTTACTTGTCAACCTAATCATCCACTACCTTGAAGTTCCCAGTCACCACTGAAATTGTCTTGGAAGATGGGACACCCCCATGGAGCATGTAAAAGTAGCTCTCAGTACACACATTCCTTCAATTTATACTAGAGTCAAATGTGAGGGCCAGCATGAGGACAAGCTACCCAAGTCCTAGCATGTAAAGGACATATTATCTATAGCTAAGGAACTTGACACCAATGCTGACAGAGCCACTAGCCATATGACACCATAAGGGGTGCATGTGCTCTACCATGGGCTTGGCTTGGATACTTACAAATTTCAGCTGCTGTTGAGGGTACAACATCTGTCCAGGGAGGGCTTGAGCCTGAGACACCAAAGGCTGGTTCTGTGACTGTGGCGTGAGTTGTGATGGTTGATTCTGTGCAACTGAGGGCTGCTGAGCCTGTGGCGGTGGCTGGTGGTGCTGTGCATGATGCATCTGTGGCAGCTGCTGAGGCAGGGCCTGGGAGGGGGGAGGCTGTGGTTGCTGCATTGGTGGCTGCTGTATTGGTGGCTGGGCCTGCAAAGCCTGCTGCTGTTGCTGCTGCTGTTGCTGTTGTAATTGCAGCTGTGCCATTCTCTGTAGCTGCTGCTGCTGCTGCTGTATCTAGAGACAGAACAAGCAGCACTTGGTTACTATCCATTAGTTTCTGTAGGGCCAGTTCTTCCCTGTGCCACCTTTGACCAGTTGACCTCTTACTTGGGGAGGCGAACATGTCCCATAAAAGGGCTCTGGGCACCCAAGGTCAAATGCCAGCAGTCTTTCAGATACTTACAATACGACGAGTGTGTGCCTGTGCCATAGTCAGACCCAGACAGGTAGCACCTCCCTAGATGTGGACACTGGAAGAAGGTCCACCCTGGGATGGCCCAAGAGAAATAACTAGGTTTAAGAAAGAGTAATAAAGAATAGATGTAGTCCCACAGGTGGCCTATAAGATTGGGCAACTGATATCTGCAGCCTTTCCAATGATGCTGTTTTGTCCCTATAGTGATCAGCAATACACAAGCCTCCGCATGAGGATAGTCAATATCTGCTTTTCAGGATGGGGCAGACGAGTCACTGTCAGCTCTGAGAGAAGAGTCTTCTAGATTGAGAGTAGGCAGCAGGTTTAGAGGCACCCCTGGAGCTTCTCTCCCTTAGCCAACACCTGCCATGAGGACAGATGCTGAAACATCTAAATTTTAACAACTGCAAACCATGGGAGAACAAAGCAGCTTCTGATCAACAGGGTGTTTAATATGAAATTTCCACTCCCCTATAGAACACCATCTCTAGGAGGAACAGATATTATGCTCAGACACCAAGACACAGACAAAAGAGGAAGTGCCTATGTCCTCAAAAGAAAGTGTCCAGGCCAAGCCCATTGGCACATATCTGTAATACCAGCAACTTGGGAGGCTGAGGCAGGAGGATCCCAAGTTTGAGGTCAACCTGAGCAATTTAGTGAGACCTTGTCTCAAAACAAAAATAAAAAAAGGGCTGGGCATGTAACTCAATGGTAGAGTGAGGGCTGGGGATGTGGCTCAAACGGTAGCGCACTAGCCTGCGCCTGGCATGCATGCATGCGGCCCGGGTTCGATCCTCAGCACCACATACAAACAAAGATGTTGTGTCTGCCAATAACTAAAAAATAAATATTAAAATATTCTCTCTCTCTCTCTCTCTCTTTAAAAAAAAAAAATGGTAGAGTGCCCTGGGTTACATTCCTAGTACCACCAAAAAAAAAAAAAAAAAAAAAAAAAAAAAAAAAAAAAAAAAAAAAAAAAAAAAAAAAAGAAAGAAAGGGACAAGAAATATGTCCACAGCATGATTCAAACATCCCCCAAGTCTCCCTTCTCATGCCAATTAAATCTTTTGCAACGCTCTTACAGTTCCCACAGCACATAGTAGGCCTGCAGCAAGATACCTGGAACCTGACTGAGAGGCCTCTTCCTATAATCACAGTACTTTCCTACTAAGCTAGAGATTATTTCTCTTGCCTAATCAACACATTTCTGGTCCATGAAGCAGAGCAGGTAGCAAGGTTATCAAGAGGACCTTTGCTGTCTCTGGGTTCCTGCACCTAGCACTGTGGCTGCCACCTGTCCCAGGCTCAAGGACTAAAAAAAGGAATTACAATGTGAGAATAGGGGAACACTGTACCTGTTGCTGGTTTTGATGGTGCAACTTAATCAGGTGCTGCTGCTGTTGCTGCTGCTGCTGGAGCTGTTGCTGTTGCTGTACCACTGCCTGGAACTGTTGCTGCATGGCACTCTGCTGCGCTTGGAATTGCTGTTGCTGTTGCTGCTGCTGTAGAGCAGCCTGCTGCTGTTGGAATTGCTGTTGTTGCTGCTGTTGCTGCTGCTGCTGCAGTGCCACCTGCTGGAGCTGGAGCTGAGCTGAAGAGGAGACCCAGATTTAGGCCCAAGTCAACCCAATGGCTGCCCCAGGCTGCATGGTAAGGGAAGCAGTAGCAAGCCAAGGCTCCACTGACACAGCTGCTCTGCAGACAGGAAGGGAATTTGGGTAGAGCTTCCTGCCCAGACTGCTGCTGGAACCTGAACACTCCTGATCAGACAGGAAGTGGAATTTGTGTCAATTTACTATCATGAATTACTCTATAACAATCAAAGAGAAAAGGGCCAATGCCCAGTGACATAGTCCTGTAATCCCAGCTATATAGGAGGCTAAGGCAGAAGGATCAAGTTCAAGGCCAGTTGGGGATACACAACAAGACCCTGTCTCAAAATAAAAAACAAAAGGGCTGGGGTTGTAGTAGCTCAATGGTAGAGCACTCACCTAGCATGTGTGAGGCACTGGGTTGGTCCTCAGCACCACATAAAAAAGAATAAAATAGGGCTGGGATTGTGGCTCAGTGGCAGAGTCTTAGGATTGTACGTGTTAGGCACCACATAATACATAAATAAAATAAAGGTATTGTGCCCATCTACAACTAAAAAATCTATATTAAAAAAAAAATATATATATATATAAAAGGGACTGGGAAGCTGGGCATAGCGGTGCATGCCTGTAATCCTAGTGGCTTGGGAGGCTGAGGCAGGAGGATTGTGAGTTCAAAGGGTTTAGTGAGGCGCTAAGCAATTCAGTGAGACCTTGTCTCTAAATAAAATACAAAATAGGGCTGGGAATGGGTTGAGTGTCCTTGAGTTCAATCCCTGGTAACAAAAACCAAGAAGTTGGGGGGCTGTAGATGTAGCTCAGTGGTAGAATGGATTCCTAGTACCATGGAAGAAGAAACAAGGGCCAACTAAGTCTGAGGATCAAACCCAGTACTTCATACATGCAAGGCAAGTGCTCTACTACTGAGGCACAACCCCAGATCCAACTAAGTCTTTTGGATGGACAAAAGGCAGTCTCTGATCATCAGCATTAGCAATGCTAATCTTCTATCTTTGTGGATTTGCCTATTGTGGACATTTCAAATGAATGGCATCAAACAAGCTGGGTGCAGTACCGCACAACTGTAATCCCATCAAATTGGGCTGAAGCAGAAGGATCACAAGTTCAAAGCCAGCCTCAGCAACTTGGTGAGGCTCTGAGCAACTTAGTGAGACTCTGTCTCCCACCCACCCCACAAAAAAAATGGTGTGCGGGGGCGGTTTGGACATGTGGTTCAGTGATTAAGTTCAATCCCTGGTACCAAAGGAAAAAAAAAATACCAAAAGAAGTTGTAGATTATTATCTGCTTTACTGATATTTTATTGCCAAATAACATTCCATTATATGGATTTACCATATTTTGTTCAACAGTCATCAGCTGATGGACATATGGCTTGTTTCCATTTTGGGGCTACTGTTAACAATACTGATATAACAGTCACAAGATTTTCCACAGCAAGGTTTCTTTTGAGGTGATAAAAATGTTCTAAAATTGATTGTGGTGATGTCTGTGTAACTGTGACTGTAACAAAAAACCACTGACTGGTGCATTTTTTAAAAAAATATTTTAAAGTTGTTGATGGACCTTTATTTATTTGTATGTGGTGCTGAGAATTGAACCCACTGCCTCATGCATGCCAGGCAAGCATGCTACCACTGAGCCACAACTCCAGCCCCAACTGGTGCATTTTTAATGGACGAATTATATACTAATAAGAATCGATCAAGCTGTTAAAAAAAAAAAAGTGAAGGAATGGACTGAGAAATCTTTTGTATGCTTGGACCAGTTTCGCCAATGATAACATTTTGTAAAATTGTAACATCACAATCAGAATGTGTGCTAAAGGGGCTGGGAATGTGGCTCAAGTGGTAGGGCGCTCGCCTGCGCCTGGCATGCATGCATGCGGCCTGGGTTCGATTCTCAGCACCACATACAAAGATGTTGTATCTGCCGAAAACTAAAAAAAAAAAAAAAAAAAAATATGTGTGCTAAATTTTGTGGGCATTGTACTAAATTCTATACAAATTTTATCACCTGTCCCCATTCAGCCACCTCCAGAGTAAGACACTAAACAATTCCAATATCCTATAGATCCCTCAGTTGTCACCTCCCTTCAAACAACTCTGCTCCTCAAGATCCAACAACTACTAAGGCGCCCTCTTTTTCCAAAATTTTGTCACTTCAAAATTATATAAAATAGTTTTAAAATGTTACATACTAAGAAAATGACACAGTATGAACTCTTTCGGGTTGGCCTTTTTTTTTTTTTTTCTTCCACATAATTCTCTGAAGATCATCCACTTTCTAGTGATACCAATAGCTCCTCCTGCCAAGTATTATTCCATGGTATGAATATTGACTACTCAGGGCATCTGAGATGACTGCAGATTCAGTATATTACAAATAAAACTATAAGCCAGGTACAGTGGTACACAATCTGTAATCCCAGAACTTGAAAGACTGAGACAGTGGGATTGCAAGTTTGAGGCCAGCTTAAGCATCTCAGCAAGACCTATCTCAAAATAAAGAGGGGCTGGTGAATGGAGCTCAGTGTTGGAGTATCCCTGGGTTCAAATCCTAGTGCTACAAAACAAACAAAACAAACTATAAGCACTTGTGCTGAGTCTTTCTGTTTTTGTTTTTATGAGTACCGGGGATTGAACTCAGGGGCACTTGACCACTGAACCACATCCCCAGCCTATTTCATATTTTATTTACAGTCTCACTGAGTTGCTTAGTGCCTGGCTTCTGCTGAGGCTGGCTTTGAACTTGTGATCCTTCTGCCTCAGTTCCTGAGCTGCTGGGAATGCAGGTATGAGCCACCACTTCCAGCTTCTGCATGAGTTTTTATGGGAAGTTTCCATTTCTATGCAATAAATACCCAGGAATGTTATGGCTGAAGTACATGTTTCCTTTTTAAAGAAGCTGTACTGAATTTTACCATCTGCAATATATGAGTGTTTCAGTTTCACCATCATCAGCACTTGATATTGTCATATGATTTATTTTAGCCATTCCTGGTAGGTGTAACAAGTATTATATTTACGTTTTAGATACAGACTTGTAACTCTGTTTAGAATTCAGAAAACATGAGAATGACAATAATCCTTTAAATTTTTGAGGCTTGCTTTATGGTTAATTTTTGTAAACATATTTGTTCCATGCTGTGCTTAGCTTAAGTTGCTCATTACATTGTTCGCAGCTTCTCTGAACATTTCAATTTTTGTCTGCTTAACTAACAATAACAAAAGAAGTAACTGAGGTACTTGTCCAATAAATCTGTTCATCTTCTATTTTTGTATCTTTTTGTTACACTGTGTTTCCTGAAGGATAACACAGTTGTACTATTTCCTTACAGTTCTACTCAATTTCAGGTTTTTCGTCTTTTAGCAGGAAAAACTTAGATCATTCACATTTACTATTATTACTTACATTTTTTAAAAATTATTTTTTTAAGTTGTTGATAGACCTTTATTTTATTCATTTAACTGCGGTGCTGAAAATCGAGCCCAGTGCCTCATACATGCCAGGCAAATGAGCTACCGCAGAGCCACAACCCCAGCCCTGATATACTCACATTTTTAAACATATTTCTATTTGCCTCTTCTCATCTTTTCCTTTTCAGGAACTGAACCCAAGGGTGCTTAACCAATGAGCCACATTCCCTAATCCCCAAAACCCCCTTTTTTTGAGACAGGGTCTGGCTAAGTTCCTTAGGGCCTTGCTAGGTTTTCAGGTTGGCCTTGAATTTACAATCCTCTTGCTTCAGCTTCCTGAGTTGCTGGGATTACAGGAGTGCACCACTGCAACGGCTTTTTTATTTTAGACTGTATTTTCTTTGAATGACTGGCTTGGACTTTGTGTGCTGTTTAGATTGTTTGTCATTTTTTTCCATTATTCCATTTTTTCTATTGTTTAAAAATTTACAAATTATTTCTTTTCTTTTAGCAATTATTTTTCAATTTTATAATGTCTATATAATTTAAAAGTATAGAGTTTTCTGGGTGTGGTGGTACAGTACATTCCTGTAATCATCTGAGCAATTCAAGAGGCTGAGGCAGGAGGATAACAAATTTGGGGCCAGGAGGATTACAAGTTTGGGAGGCTGAGACAAGAGAATCTCAAGTTGAGGCTAGCCTCAGCAATTTAGTGGAGCCCCAAGCAACTTAGATTCTGTCTCAAAATTAAAAATAAGAAGGGCTGGGATTTAGCTCAGTGATACAGTGCCCCGGGCTAAATCCCCAGTAACTAAGCCAGTCTTTAAGCAACTTAGCTAGACGGGGTCTCCAAAAGTGGGGTGGTGGTGGAGTGAGGATGTGGCTAAGCGCCCCGGTACCATTAAAAAAAAAAAAAAAAAGAAAGAGAGCTTACCAATACTTTAACCTCTTTCCCCAATTTACTACTTTTTATATTTTGGGGTACTAGAGATTGAACCCAGGGGCATGTAACCACCGAGCCACACATCCACCCCTTTTTAAATTAGGCTTGGATTGCAGCAAGGCTGTGTAGAAATTAGCTTTGAGCATTATTGACATTTTGGCCCAGATAATTAAATTTTATTTTGTGGGGTACCATTCTATGTAAGACGCTTTAGCAGTATCTCTGGTCTCTACCCACTATGTGCCAGTGGCACCCCTATAGTTGTGACATCCAAAATGATCTCCAGGCATTGTTAGATGTCTCTGTGGTACACAACTGCCCCAGATGAGAATCAGTGGCTTAGATTTACACACATTTACTACCCCTCATGTTTATTATCTCTTTTCCCACTGTTCCCTTATATCTCAAAAAGATGGCTTGAGGGGGAAGAGGAAATGGTGAGCAAATAAAAGACTATACCTTTTAAAAAGCCTTTTGGTGAAGGTCCTAGATGTTGTTAATCTAAAAATATCTCGTCTCCCCTCGCCTTTTATGAGATTTGCGGGCACACAATGGTTGACAGCTCTGTTTCCAATGCCTTAACATTTTACCACCTTTTATACTACTGCTGGAGTTCAC